TCGGCGTTTAACTCCAGGAACTCAGATCTCCAGTCAATTTCGAGGAGTTCGTTCCCAATGGCCTCCCAGTCTGTTCTTCGATGATGAAAATTTAGCATAGCCAGGCCCCCTCGAGATGTAGGTCTGGGCTGGTTTCCAATCCAATTGATGTTTCGACTACCACTAGTCGATGGTCTCCTCAATCCGAATATCAGCAACCAATTCTTCATTGCTAGTGAAGAATAGATCCAGGATATTGTGTTCTCATGTTGGCACAAGTACCTGTTGACTTAGCAGGTGCTCCCTAGTGAATCGAAGTAGTTAATTGTGTTCACTGGGTTCCGTCCTGATCTCTGCTCCCTACACAGTCCAAGTGTGGCCATCGTATGCGTGGTAGGTTAATAGCTCCCTCATCCACAATGTTTGGGGAAGGTTCACTCAAGTTGGCCACCTGTTTCTATTCTCTCATGCGTTTCATTGAATTTTTCCGGCGGGCAGTCAGGCAGTCGGTATACGATGGCTATGCACAATTGGAGATGGGAGATGTATAGTATTATAACATGGTCCACATATCCACTGGAGCCTAAATTCAGAGGAACTGTTTTTGCCGCGAGGAAGTTTCTGAGGAAGACTATAACGCCTCCTCTTTTCCTTCCTTTTCTTTTCGGTCTAATCGGTAATGTTGAAACCCTCTCATTTCGCGTTCTTCATCTTGGATATCCTCTTTTAGATGTGACTCGGTTAAGGCAAGCACGATTATTCCCTCTGTCTCAGCAATTTCTTTAAGTACGCCGATCTTGTGGCATTTCCTTCTTGGGAAGAGGCCCTCTATTTGGCCAGACTCTTTCTTTACGGTCTTAGTTGCTGCAACACGTACTGCATCGCGATGGGTCTCTGGCTCAGCAGCTATTGCATTTGTTGCTGTAATTTTTGCTGTTGTTCGCGCAGTGTCAACAGCTGTTGCATTTTTTGCTGAATCTGATCTAATTGCTTTTGCAGGCCTAAAAATTACTACGACGGATATCGAGTTCTCTGTGTTGTTCTCCACTCCGTTAGAATGTGGTGTCCGGTGTGTTAATTATTGGGACAGCCCTGTTGTACGTCTTATTACGATAGATTCGCCCTTCCCAGAACTGTTTTTTAACAAATGCATTTTCTGAAATTTTGAGTTTGGGAGTAGAATGTATCTGGTGTTCCGAGGATGAAGTAAAAAAGTCCCGTCTCCCTTTGTCATCATTTCCCGCCTGCGGGTCGAGTCTAAGGTGATGAAACCGACAGTTGTCTTGCTTGCAAGCGATATATATTTTTATAGTATTCCAGCACAACAACGGCTGGTAGAATGGGCAGTATTTCACATTTTTGCATCCACTCTGGTTTTTGCTTCCAAATGGTGAAAATTTGTGACAAATCTAAGGGTGAGGATACCTACAGCTCAATCCTTTATTCTCCCGATCGCAATTTCCCTGAAAATACCTCCAGCAGGTGTTTCTTACCAGGCGGAATAGTAGGGTAAGAAGAGGCATTTAAATGAGATTTAAATTTTGAAATCTCATTCAAATGAGAGGCATTTAAGAGGCATTTAAACGACCTGTGGGAGTGAGTGTGGAGCGGGAGAGGGGAAGGGCCACCCCTTCCCCATCCTTCTCCAGGCTGCGGTCAAGGAGTAGAGTGCGAGTAAGTGTAAAGGGAGGCAGGGTAAGATTTCGGACAGCGGTGGGGCAGAGGGAGTAGAGAGCGGCAACACCTGTGCACGCCGGCCGAGGGAAGCGATCGCGTTAGGCATATTTTGAATTGCTTCACTCCCTAGATCTCCATGCACAACTTCGGTCCATTCCTTGAACCACTCCTCATTCTTTACACATTATCAGTAGATGAATGACGCTCTCGTCTTTACTTATCTAGCAAGTTGGAATACTAGTAACAGGGAGCATTCAAAGTGACAGAACAGGCTGCAAGAATTACATCGCAGCGCAAATGTACCGAAAAAAAGTTCTTGCATTCAATTCATTCTCCATATGGTTGGCTTGTACAAGCTTTGGCTGCCATTTTTACTGCTCGCAATACTGATCTCTGAAATGCTCTCTTACTATCTCATTCAAGAGTTCACTGAACTTATTCAGTGGTCAAAATTTGCGTTATTCACTCACAAATTTGTCAGATATAATGAAATCTAAACACTTCACAGAGAAGAGAAAATTTTGCAAAATGATTCTTAAAATCCATTTTGTTCTCTATTCACACTCTTTACTGACTTCATACTGAATTTCAGACTTTTTACTGAAACACTGCCACCAACAGGCAATAGGAGAAGTCAACTCAGGACCAAATAGAATCAAATAGTAAAGTCAAATCAATAATCAATTAGTATCGAGCGAATAATAAGTGGAGCGGCTACCAGCCCCACTCAGGGTGAGTTCTTTATCTCACATATCTTGGTTATTGGCTTCATTTTAATACTCTGGAGATGTTGGAGTACTTCAAACCCCGTGCGGTCTTGGTATTTGAATCGGAAGCCAATTTATTATTCGCTCGGTTGTACATTTTATATAAATTCAGGGTATTCTGGCGGTAAATTGGTCGGAATTTTATTTCAATTAGGCGTGAAGTTTCACTACAAATTATTGCATTCAGTTTTGTAGAATAACGGAACTTCTCTGCTGCCAGGTGAAGAGCTTTATTTTTTGTAGAAGAAATTGCAGTCGTGTGTATAGTTTTATGGAAGTTCTGCGTTGTCAGGTGTATAGTTTTATGGAAGTTCCGTGTAGTCAGGTGTAAAGTTTTATGAATGTTTTTTGAAGTCGGGTGTATAGTTTTATGGAAGTTCTATGCAGTAAATGATAGAGTTTTATGGAAGTTCTGTGCAGTCAATGGTAGAGTTTTATGGAAGTTCTGTGCAGTCAATGGTAGAGTTTTATGGAAGTTCTGTGCAGTCAGGTGTAGAGTATTGTTATCATGGCAGGATGAACCAAGTTTTTCAAATTCGGTAAGGAAATTGATTTGAACATTTGAATTCACTGAAGAATTTTCTTGGCGCAAACTTATATGCAATCATCAGTTAAGGACAAATCTGTCAACTGACTTATTTTACTAATTCGATTCCTGTAACTTAGCAGACAGAGAGAGCTGTGTATACTCAGAACAATGCGGGATGTTGAAGGTTACAAGGTCCTTGCATCCCCAGATCCATCCGATCTGCGAAATAACTTGAAAAGATTTAGTCGCAAACATAACTTTAAATTTATCATATGTTTGATATTTATTGGAGCTTCAGTATACGTGATGGCAAACTATGATGTGAAATTTTCGGCTTCTGGTATGGACATGGGTTGTTTGGATTCTGAGCTGAGCAGGATTCACCAGAAACGTGCCAGACAATTGCAGCCATTTTCCTTGACTTCAAGCTTGAATCATTCGATTGAAATAGGCAATGTAAATCCTAAATGTGATTTGCCGTGGTGGGATGGTGCTCTCGACAACTGTTGGGCAATTCAAGAACAATTTATTGCTCAGAAAAACAAATCGCGAAGCCATTGCGGCAAGAGGGCAGACTTCGCTGGGCCCAATCAAAAAGTCCTCTCCTACTGCGTATATGGAAATTATTCAAAGTACGCGTCTGGATTTCCCAGCATTTTAGACGCCGTAAGGAAATGGTACCCGGGGTGGCTGGTTCGGCTGTACACTGAACCTTCCATGTACGTCAACGAACTCAGACCTCTCATGCTGCAGCACCCATACTTGTACTTGTGCGACGTGAGCCACTTACCAGGCGACATCCCTGACGCCCGCGTGCCAGATTCCATGCTGTGGAGAGTAGCAGTCTTGGGTGACGAGACGGTCGACGTGTTCCTGGCTCGAGATATAGACGCAGAGGTGAGCTGAAGTTTGTAGCGGGTGTTTGTCGACATTGAAATCATTCTCAAGTTTCAAGTAGTTGCTTACAGTCTTCAAAGCTGCTTCTGTACCTGACAAAAAACATTCAAAATAAAAATTGTGGGTGGTGCACCGATGGTTATATTGTTTGGTAGCGTTTATCGACGATGATTTCTATAGGGTCTGGTTCATTAATGGCGCAGTGCAGGCAAATTCCTTTATTCTTACTTGTAAGCCACCGACAATCGTTCGCCGAAACTGCGCAGTGCACGAAGGAGTATGCCACTGTAATTTGTCCGACATAGAGTATTTTCTTAGGTTGCGGTTCATTCATGGCCAGTGATAAATCATGAATTAATTTAAATGAAGTTCTTCAAAATTTATTTTGCCTCGAGTAGGTATAATTAGGTCCGAATGTAACTGAGTCGGTAGAAAGGCGTTTACATAATTTTCGAGCTCAAGTGAAGCCACTAGACACTTGCCACAAACAGCTGTTCCCCGTTGCTGTTAAACTCTTGCTGATACAATGTTCATTAGACGAATTAGCATTAGATAGACGAAATTTAGACGAGGGGTAAGTTTTGACTTCACTCGAGGAGTAGCTATCGAGGGCTCATTGTTGCACCATCCGTGTCAGTGGGTAGTTATTAGTGGAAAAAAAATTTTCGGGTAGGGTGGCATTGACTGATTATAGGTGGAACATGGGTTGGACAGTGCATCGATGCGCCATCGGTGCCTCACCAATGATTTCCAACCCAGTTCTCCTAATAAATCAGCGGTGCTCAACGAATATATTTTTATTTGGGATTAAGATGTATTTTCCAGGTTAGACTTGTGCGCTGAACGCAATTCACAATAAATATGATGAAACCGCTCATAACTGGACCTTTAAGCGCATTCTCGCCGTTAATTATGCAAGCTTATTTTTTGTTAAAATTTTTTGATGGTCAACAAATAATCAGCTGCGCAGTTTGTATTTCGAAGAGAAATATCAGAGATTCCTTTCATATTCAAAATCGTTGCAGATGTTGTATCGCGAAGTGGCAGCCGTTCATGAGTTCTTGGAATCAGGTAAGATGCTGCACATAATGCGCGATCATCCATGGCATGGCGTGTCACTCCTGGGGGGAACTTACGGCGTGAACCAGGCAGCCTGCAACCGCTCACTCCTAAATCACATCCGCCGCCAAGTTTTTGACCAACGCCAAAAAATCAACGATCAGTCCGTGCTGCAAGTGAGAGAAGGAAATTAGTTTAATATAATATTTTGCCAGAAATATTGAAGTTTAATATGTTTATTATCGAGTAACTTTTTCGTCATAAGGGAAGGTATGCATGACCACGTGAATGTAGCAAGGATTGAATTTTGGGTTCACGTTTTCATTATTTTGGTTCATACCATTGCCGAAGTCATATTACACGTATGCATAAGTAACGCATCAAAGCCGAATTAGGTACAAAAATATCTTATAATTGACTTCTTAGGACTCGTTTATCGTCGAGTGACTTCTCAGAGAATCAAACCCATGTTAACTAATATCATATGCAGAAATTCACACTTATATGCTCTCAACATGACATAACTCTCTATTGGATTGACAATGAACACTTTTGACAAATAGCGATTATTCACATTCATCATCGTATAAAAAATAATTAAGCTCCTTTTTCTCTTTATGACAACGTAATTAGTTTGTACTATACTGAAGCAGGATTTCGTACTGCGCCCTCATTGGGCACAAACGTTTTGAGGCATCTGAATCATGGCACAAAATTGCACTATCAAGAGCTAAACAATGGTATAAGAAAGATTTGTGGAAATTAATTACAAGATAATATTTGAAATAAATGGAGTTTGATTGTTAAGTGTAAGAGAATAAAATCTTTGCACTGACAGATAAGGACGGCTCAATAATCATCCTGCTGTTCGTAGTATGGAACATGAATTTGATGCAAAAACTGATACCAAAATATGGTTAGCCCAGTGTTAAAGCTCAGAGTACCAAGATAGGAGAAGAGAGGTGCTGGTTCGATCCCAGCTCTGTGCGCCAGTTTCTGGTCAGAATCGGCAAGGAGGCCGGGTGGTTAAGCTTTGGAAATTTGAAGTAGTGAGTTGCGAGTTCAAGCCCGCAACAAGCTGTGGATGTTCTGAAATGTTAGGAATCGTCAACAGGTCTACGGCCAAATAAATGCTGAAAAAAAGATAAAGAGAAAAAGATCAAAGCCTAAATATTTATATTTTGATGACAGGTGATATCTAATCATAACGTGCCCCTCACTTTTTAATGCAATGTGAGCTAACAATATGGGCGATTATAGTTAGTTATTTTTCGATCCGCATTTCACATCGGATTTTTACAGTAATTAGATGAAGGTGTGCCATTTAGTACATGCAGAAAAGCCTCAGCTTATTTCGACATTTAATTATTTCCTAATAGAGCCCTAGTATGAAATAATTCAAATACATATGACTGAAAACTCTATTTACTTACCAGCAATATCTATTCCACCACTGTAACGACACCTGAAACCAGGCTAAAGTTATTTTTTTTGATCACTATTTCTATAAGGAGAAAGCCTATTTCATTGATCATTGCATAAAGTATTTTAGAAATAGGTTCAAATTAAAATCTCTGAACAGTATTCATATGTAAGTTTAATTTGTCATGCGATGGATTTTAACTGCTATCTGTTTGAATCCCAAGATGTATTTATACCCCAAGCTGGTTCACAGCTCCATCTCCCACGACAGCTATAGCTGCCAACACTTCCCCTCAACTGTGCCCTTCCCAACACAGAGAAACGCCAGCCAGTTTGTCGGCAACAGGAGGTGAGACTTGGGAAACTATTGCGTTATCATGGTCTCCATTCAGTAGTGAGAAATAGATTTTAATTAAAAGAAAATTATTACAACAAATTATTACAACTAATTATTAGTAATATTGACAATTTTAGTGAGTGTTAGTGTATCACTAATTTGATTCAAAACTTGCAGGTACAGAAGTGAATTCTCAGATGATTTGGTAAAGGATGAGTGTCCCGTTGAATGCAGGCCTCCCACACATCAGGACTGGAAATTTTGCTGAAGAGTTGTCCTTGCATGATTCAGAACACAAACTTACTTCGTTAAAGGGTAAAAAAATTGGATATATTTTCAGAGCTATTTCAATTTTGGTGTTACTTTGATACGCTCAGTATGTATAATTGTTCATTGTCAGGTAACAATTTTGATGAAGTCATGTTTAGGAGAAAATCTCAGGAGCTGCTTCAATTTCAATCTATATCTTGAGAACGTATTGCATATTTTCGCTCAGGCAAATATATTCTCAGTTTTATTGTAAGGATTTACCCTTTGGTACTGGTACTCTTGATGATTACTATTTACTACGTTTTTTACCACGTTTTTCTTGACTTAGTTTCGTGTGTGTCTGTCATCAAAAATTCAGACCTTAATTTAGAGCTCTTCTAAACATCCTAGTAAGCTGAAATTTGGCATGCATGTTTATGCTGCCTAACAATTCAGGATTTGATCATCAGAAATAATAATTAATTTTTTTTAATTAAAAAAAAACACAAAAAATTCACGGTTTGGAATTCAGTTTTTTCTCGAACATCCACACTAGCCAACCCTGGAAATTGATTTGAATTGCTAAAATTGCTAACTAAAAAGTAGAAAATAAATAAATATTAAAATTATTTTTAATAACCACGTTTTTCTGTTTTTTACAAAACTAAAAATAGTGAAATAAAACAAATAAAAAAACTTTTAAAAACCACGTTTTCTTAACGGACAAAAAAGAAAAACATTTACTCTTACATACCATTACATAACATTTTACATAACTTAAATGTTATGTAAGAGTAAATGTTTTTCTTTTTTGTCCGTTAAGAAAACGCGGTTTTTAAAAGTTTTTTTATTTGTTTTATCTTAGCTTAGTTTCGTGTCTGTCTGTCTGTCATCAAAAATTCAAACCTTTATTTAGAGCACTTCTGAAGATCCTAGAAACTTGAAATTTGGAATGCATGCTTATGCTGCCTAACAATTCAAGATTTGATCATCAGAAATAATAATTTATGAAAAAAAAAAATTTAAAAAAATCATGTTTCGGAATCGAGTTTTTTTCTCCAACATCCAGATTGGCAACCCTAGAAACTGATTTGAATTGCTAAAATTGCTAAACTAAAAAGTAAAAAATAAATAAATATAAAAAATTGTTTTCAAAAACCGCGTTTTTTCTGGTTTTTACAAAGAAAAATAATGAAATAAAACAAATAAAAAAGACTTTTAAAAACCGCGTTTCCTTAACGTACAAAAAAGAAAAATATTTACTCCTACATAACATTACATAACATTTCACATAACTTAAATGTTATGTAAGAGTAAATGTTTTTCTTTTTTATCCATTAAGAAAACGTGGTTTTTAAAAGTTTTTTATTTGTTTTATTTTCAAATGAAGGCCAATTATTGCTTGACTGCCAATGAATGAATGGATTAGGTCAGCAGGTAACAGGGATCGACATCCAAGACGTTGCAGCACTGTAGCAAAACAATTGAGTTGAGTTATACAAGTATATGACAATCATATCCGTAAGGCGCAAATTGAATTACCAATATGATGGATACAAAAATTGTATCTACAGGAAACAGCAATCGTCATTTCGCAAATGTCGTGCACTAATCAAAAATATATAAGCAACATTATACGACTTGTGCTGGAACGAGATAAACATTTTGACACGACCAAGCTTTTCTTTGAATGGAGGGAAACAAACTAAGTTTCCAGAAAATTTATGTCAACTAAGATGAACTGTTAGCCAGCCATTATTAGGACGGAAATATCTAAATTACCGTTTATTTCTCAGAAATAGGTATCCAGATTATACTCAAATATCTGAAAATCGCTTGTGAACTGGTCGCTCAAAGGTACATTGCTGCCTTGAATTCTGATCATCCCCGGCAAGATTAGTGTGATAATACCATATTTAATTCTGATTTTTAGCGAATTTCCTCTTTATAGAAAAAATGCACTATTGTGCTCGCCTTGTCCGTCTGTCTGTCTGTCTGTCCGTCTGTCCGTCCGTGACTTCACGTTTTCTTTGATTTTAAGAAGCGGGCATGCCTGTATCAAAGATACGAAATCTCTAGCTCTAATGCACTGTACTAATCGCAATGAAAACTGTTTTATGCACGAGAAAATGCGCTCTCTGTCACTCACTGCCGTGAGTACTGAGTTATATTTTTATGGTTAATTTTAATCATAGCAAGCGATGTATGTATTATTAAGATTTCCTAGTACGTCAAGCTAGCAAAGTTGCTTGCAGCGGAGCGAGAATGTGTAATATAACCTTTTTTCTCTGTCTTATCATGCATAACTATGCAAGTATTGATACGAACGTTTTCATGTATCCTGTCAGCCGAATTATATTCTTTTGTTATCTTTTCAAACGTGATTTCAACTGTACAAAATATACACAAAATTCTCACGTTGACCATTAATAACCTTGTGCCAATTAGAGCACCTATACAAATGGATGAGCGTTCCGTACGATCGCATACTTTTTCAAAGTTATTCGTCTGTTGACGTTTTGTTTAATTTTAAATATGGACACTCTTTATTATGGAAACTTCTTCGCGTTACTATTGATAGTCTCGAAATAATACGTGTACGCTGCGTAAACCGATCAACCGTTGAACGCAAAGTTCCATTGACTTTACGCTTTGTTCAGTTTTATGGGAGCATTTCTAAGCAACTATATTCGCGATGAGTGCCCGCCTTCATTCACTAGCTACATAAATACCAACAAGAAACTGTGTGTACGGGTCTCAGTGTGGTATCCTTGATACCATCGTATTTTAGCTGCTGCTTTGCCGAAGCGCATTGCTGCATTCTAAATAGGTTATTAATTAGTAGTATTATATATACCATTGATGCGTTTCAAGTAACTTTGCAATACAAACCACCGTGAGAACGAAAATCCCCTAACAATTCAAAGCGCCCAATTATATTGGTTGAACATGGGCTGTGATGAGCTTACAATAAGAGGAGAATTTCGTCCCGATGGGAACAAAACGATCAGATTCCTTCAGTGCGAAAAGCGTGCGGCTTGACCAGAGAAATAAAATATACACTACGCATTTTTCCACCATTGTTTTCTTATTGGTCCATCTGGTTTATCCGGGTGTACAAATTATTACGTTTGAAATAAAAGCATTGAAAACATGGTAGAGCCCAATTAGCGTGGAAATATAATAATATATGGCACGGTATCTATTAGTGTGACGAATAGTATCACATACATGATGCAAATCATCAAATAATAATTCAAAAGTTAAGCCACACCCTCAAGTCAATAGTGCGCAGCCTTTGTACTACATAGCGACAACCAGAGCCCAGGTCACGGGGCCGCGTCTGACCTGGCGTCTGACCTTCGTATCCATGATACCGGAATGTGGAGTTGCCCGTTGTCTGGGACGCGCCAGCGGCACGCGGCCTCGCTGACCTTAACGCTAGCATGTATTACAAGCGCGTTATATAAATCATAACGAATACAAGGACGAATAAACGATAATTGAAGTGGGGGTTAACTTACTGTTTTCATCGGAAAATACTTAGCTGTACCGCGGTTGCTGTAGTTAAGGTGACAGGAATAGATGCAGGAACCAATACTGAATGATGACTTAGAAAACCACGTTGCATAATCAACTTGGTTGACATCAACTGATTGCTTGTATAAAAACGGATTTTGAACGATGTTACGAGGCCTAGTGCTTAAAATTAAAATGCGGATTTTTAAGTTGACTAAATCAATTAGGTTCATAAATCAAGGCATAACAAAGAATGTAACATAATATGTAACTGCGATAATCGTATTCCGATTGCAAAATATCAGTAAATTTCTCCACCTAGCAAATATTTCATATCAGTATTACCATGTCATCATGTACGAGTATACAAAGAACTTTTTACCTATGCATATTGGAGTCTCGCCAAAAATAAATGAATAAAACTAATTCACAGTGAAGAGCCAACTTCCACTACGATTATATCACAGCTAGCATATCCACAGGATGTTGCGACATCTCAGCACGGATGCGTACGCCGCCTTCAACGCCTCCTTCAGGGACCTGCTGGCAAGCGGCAACCTCAGCTCCCTGTCAGTGGACGAAGTAAAAGCCCTGCCGTCCAACCTGTGGCGCAAGTACGGGGTGAGTTTTGGGTGAGGGGAGGCTATGTTGTGGCGCAGGTACGGGGTGAGTTTTGGGTGAGGGGGAGGCTATGTTGTGGCGCAGGTACGGGGTGAGTTTTGGGTGAGGGGAAGGCTATGTTGTGGCGCAAGTACGGGGTGAGTTTTGGGTGAGGGGAAGGCTATGT